TATCTATCTATCTATCTATCTATCTATCTATCTATCTATCTATCTATCTAATCTGATCGATCTATCCGTCCATCTGTCTCTAGAAAGAATCAAGAAAAATTTGGAGAAACAACTATTTTTAACAGCTCAAAATTCTCATGTATTCCTACTTTAACATCAATCTATTGATTAGGTCACTGAATTTACTTCCTAACTGACAGAATGCAGACAATAATAGGCTGGCCTGGAAGATAACCTCATCCCAGCTTGCAAAGAATAATGTGAACATATAAGATTAAAAAATGGTATGTTTGTGCTGTGGCATGCTGGCTAAAATATGCCAAAACTGACCGGTTCTGTCCTTGACTAAGTCTATACCTTCCCTAGTTTACTAAAATAGGCAACATGAAAGCCTTATGACCACAAGTCATGATAGCAGGCAAAGCCAATAAACTATTGGTTAATTTGTTGATGATCCATGCCACATGTAAGATTATAATTTTCAATATAAGAGGAATAAATGGTAAAAAGTATGGATTAATAGATGAAATAAAGTAAAAATAATAAAGAGGAAGGATTTGATAAATGTCAATGAAAGTGGTCTGATTTTGCAGATTAGTGTTGATATGCATAGAGAAATGGTGGTATAAGATTATGAATTAAAGGATAAAATGTATGTTAGAAAATATGTTACCTAGGTTTCTTTAGTTTGTGTATAATGTAGTAATCCCTACATTAATGATAGTTGCATGCTATACTGCAATGACTGGTGATAATGGAAGAATCAGAGAAAATGTGCAGTGTTCTGAATGAATGTGATCAATGGAAAAGTCATTTTGCTTGACAATGTGAATGATATCTCCTGGAAATGGGAGAAGTACAAAAAAAGATTTGGACTCTAGAATAAATCAAAATTAACTACTTCAAAAACAAAATCTATTCATACCTACACATATGGCAAAGGAATAAATAAAAATGTAAATGAATAATTGATTTGATTATGTTGAAAGAAAATTAGTGAAGAATACAAGAATAATAACATATTGTGAATGTGAGACAGATGATTATTTGGTAGTGGCAGAAATAGGGGGAAAATGGACATTGTGATATGTTTCCTATTTAATAAAGTGTTCAATGAATGGAAAATGGCCTTAAGGAAATTGGATGCGGACACTGTTTAGAATGGAGAGCATAAAATTATGTTTCACAGTATCACTATAATGACAGAATGAGAGGATGACATTATATAATGTTACACAGCAAAAACAATAGCTGAAAAAGAGGAAGTGGTAGTAAAGGTTGAAAAAGGAAAAGAAAATGTAAAGCAATTTTGATGGAAACAAAATTGTTTTGGAAGTGCCTGAAGAAGGCTTAATAAGGAGCCTCCAGCACAGTGAATTGATTTTAAAATAAAGAAATTATCTGGAATGGGACAGAAGCAAATGAGTAAGCTGAATGTAGTGGAAATGAGGTACTTAAGAAATATGCATGATAAAGCAACAAAATACTGTCACTGAAATATTATGTATTGAATGGATGTAAATTGAAGTGACCAGTACAAAGTACTTGTAGTATTTAGGTCATTCAGAGAGAATGAATAAAGACTGAATTGCAAAAGAAACATAAGAAGGGAACAGACTGACAAGTGAGAGAAAACTGTGACAGATATGATGACGTCCTCAAAAAGAATGAACTGAAATATTTAAAGAACAAAAAGCAATGTAATGAAATAATTTTATGTAAACTTATGAAATAAGTTTATGTTAGTGGTGGTAACAAAGGGGCTTGTAGGGATAGAAATATAAGAATTATAATCAATGGAGCTGGAATAAATTATTTTTAACAGTTCCATTTTCATTTTTTTCATGCCTTTAATTTTTATAGCTTTCTTGCACTCCACCTAAAACATATAGGCAAATAGATTCTCCTAGCGTTTATTAGGTTTCCCCCCCCTCCCAAAAATTAGATTACCTCCTGCATTTGGATCATTTCTGCTTCCATATTCTTCAACTTCTTTTCATTTTCTTTAGCCTGTACCAAAATTTCTTCTCTTGAGGCACGTGTGTCATCCAGTTCCCGCATGCAATCCTTCATCTGGGCCTAAAAAGTTATAAATTCATGAGTATATGAAACTGCTTGATAACAAATCAGATTCAGTGTGTACTTTGCCCAAATTACAAGTCTAATTTATTGTCAACAGGTCTCCAAGACTTCAGGCATCTAATATTTTTCAACTCTGTAACCCAACAATGTTTAACTGATGCAGCCAAAGATTCAATGTGAGAACTTCTATATATAAAGCATTCCCTCTGCAAAATACTTTAAACGGGATGTTATCAGATCAATTCAGCTTAGTTTTCAAGGACTAGTTAAACTCTTCTGTCTCTGAAGGAAAGACAAAAGCCCAACTAAGGACAGAGTGGGTGGAGGCCTCAAACTTCAAAAGGAGGCGGACTGCTCACCTCTAAACCTTCATGTTGTTCACCTCACCAGATACCTCCTCTACAATTACAGTCCCCCACTGACATGCATACTACTGTGGCTCAGGAATGTCATTAGTCCATTTCCCATGAGATAACATCTAGAATTAGAGGCCAGTGGGCCAACGAAAATGAAAAGAGACCAGGATGGAACTGGTTGTTGGCTCATGCGGGCAACACAACTTTCTAAAAGGAAACAGATTTTTCATAAAAACCATCTGAAGATTCATACAACTAGACTTTTTTCCTAAATCAAAGTAACAACTGCTAATCCTTGATCATTGTTTGGATTGCTTGCTTCACTTCATCTGCTTGTGACATAGCAACAAAAAAAAATCAGCATTATACACACAGCAAACCTCACCTGTAACTTCCGGAGCTGTTTAATCGCTTCCTCACGATTCTTATTAGCAGAATCTATATGGGCCTCCAAACCCTTGAGGTCCATTTCCAGCTTCTTTCTGGCAGCTACAGCAATAGAGCGCTGTTTCCTTTCATCTTCCAGCTCCACTTCCATTTCTCGCACCTGTAAAGAAGACAGTTTACGCATTAACACAATCCAGGTCCCACATCCTAATGCAAGGGGACAAAAAAAAAAGTAATGCTTACTAATTTATCAGAGAGTTGGTAACTACCTGTCTCATCAGCTGCTTTCTCTTTTCTTCATTTTGTTCATCTCGGGCCTGGAGATCTCGTTCAAACTGTGCCTTCATGGCTTGCTGGTTTACTTCTAAGCGCAATTTAGCATCTTCTGTGGCCTGCAGTTCATCCTCTAGCTCTTCCAACTGAGTCTTCATCTCTTCTACTTGTTGCTCCAGAGCCCTTTTTGACTTTTCCAACTCGTGAACCTATAGCATACAGATACAAAATTAGCTTCCCTATATTGGCACAGCCATTGTTTTTATTGTCCAGTATTTTAAAGACTAAGGTACAAATTATTTATTTAGTTAAAACATTTATATAGCCGTCCATCTTATACCAAACTTTGGGCAGCTCACAACCAAAAAAATAAACATAATTTATTATAATTTATCACAAGCCTGTATTATGATAATCACTTTCACTCAAATACTATCAACTTACACTTTTGCCAACATCATCTTTTGAACTCATCAAATCCTCCATTTCTGTCCGGAACTGCTTATTCAGTCGCTCTAGCTCTGCTTTCTGCTCTATGGCTTCCTCCAGGGCTCTAGCCAAGGAAAGGGCTTTCGTTTCCTTTTCTCGTGCTTCTGCTTCAGCACGGTCCCGTTCTTCGGCATATTTGGCAGATATTGTTTTCTCCTCTGCTAACAGCTGGAAAAGAAACAATGATGGTACTATAAGATTTCCAAATGAAATGTCTGGTTCTCTGGAATGGTGGTCTCCTCAGGTATCACCAATGAAATAATATGAGCACCTCATACAGGTTAGTCATCAATTCCACATATGGGTTAGGATGAAGAGTTATAACTGAGTACCTCTTGCCCCCAAATATAGCAGTTGGTACCGTTTTAGAACTGAGCTAGAAAAAGTACAAGTGTAGGTCATAGTTCTTTTCCAACCAAAATCAAACCAAGAAAATGTGATAAAATGTAGTAACTTTTGTTTGCAAGAGGCAAATACTATGTTGTTTAGTCATAAGACAAGAAACCTCTGATATCCGCATAGACGCCTCCACTCCTTCACTGAGCAAGTATCTGGGCAAAGGTGTTTACCCAAAATACAATGATATGTACCTGATCAAATTTCTTTTGCTTTTTCTCCAGGTTAGAAACTATTTGCCGCTGATGATCCAAATCCACAGCAATATCATCCAGCTCTTGCTGGAGCCTGGTCTTAGTCTTTTCCAGCTTGTCATAAGCAGCTGCTTTTTCTTCATAACGTTGGCTCATAGCCTCCAAATCTTTCTGAAGCTTCTTCTTGATTTCTTCTACTGATTCCAGGCAAACTACATTTTCATCCATCTTCTTCCTCATTTCTGCAATCTAGGTAAGGAAAAAATATTATTTAACTAACTAGAAAACAGGAGATGGGATTTTAACACAATTTTTCAAAAAGAAAAAGGATGTAAGGTTGGCCTCTAAAAAAAATTGTAAGAAAATTGAAGAAGTGGGCAATTTTTTAAAATAGTGAAGAGGCATGATGGCATTCTCATGTAAGATGCAGCAGTAGTGGCACAAAATGCCATACAGCTTGCAAAGGTAGAGATCCAGAGTAGATCTATATAAAACAGAAAAACTATTTGAATCACCTTTCCATTCCCACCCAAGATACTAATCCAACATTTCACACAGAACCCAAGATATTAATCCAACATTTCACACAGAACTCTGAAAGTTTGATTTGGATATAATCTGCACAATCCAGCAATCCTCAGGGTCAGACATTCTTCCTCACACTCCAACCCTAGCAATATTAAAAAGAAATGGAAAGATTCTACTTCCGTATCAGATTAACAGCATTAAATTATATTCTTTATCCTGAAAAGCTCATTCTCACAGTGTTTTACAAAATATTAACACAGTTCCTTTTCTCAAGTTTATAGTTTAAACGTAGATTAGATAAATGATAAATCCGAACTTTTAAACTACAGTTAAGAACTAGCTCACTAAAAATCATAATTTCAATTGAAGAGTCTATTACATTCAGACAACTTAGCAAGTAATCATTAATGAAAAACGAGCAATAGCTTTTGAACTCATAGACCTGTTCTACATGTTTGGATCTGTCCGCCTTCAAGCTAATTTAATATTATATCCATACAGATCCAGTCTATAAATTTGTTCTATAGTACCTGGAACTGAAGGGCAGAAATCTGTTTTCCCAGGTTCCTCTTTGCTTCTTCTTCTTCCTCTAGTTGGTCTTTGAAGCTATTCTTCTCATCTTCCATCTGTTTCAGCTTGGTGCTAAGGCTCAGTTTTTGACGGGTTTCCTCCTGAAGCAGTTCCTATAATAATCAATAAACTGAAGAGTCAATCAAAGTTCCCGAAGACCTAAAATAAAAGGAAACTTGGGCAGGAGCTACAGTGAGCGAGAATTTGCTCCTGTAGAAAGAATTACATAACACTGGGCAAATTGTGTGATTTGGGTTACCTGCAAACTAAGGAGTTTGAATACAAATAGTTTAATGGCACTCAGTAAATTCTACAAGACAAAATGAACTTGCCAACTCAATTTTTACTTCCAGAAGAGTAAAATAAACTGTAAGAGTGCATGAAGAAAGCACTGCAGAGTTTCATGTTATGTAGGATAACTTGCCAAATCTTCCAACAAAGCATAAGGCATTTCTATTGGGGGGGGGGGGGGGAGAACCCTGATAAACTCAATTAAATCTATCATATTTATCCCATAAGAAATTTATTGTTTAAGAATATATACTGCTTTTTCAAAATTCAAAGTACTTTATGTGACATGCTTCATTATTTTAACTGATAGCTGCCTTGGGATTTTAAAGATCTAAATTGAAAGAAAGTAAGATCAAATATCAATTTATGTCCTGATATCTATATTCTGCACCAATCAGAGGAATATGAATTAGCACAATTATTTTGCAAGTCAAAAATAAAAATGCAATAATACAGAATTTAAAATGCAAACCAACTATCAACCAAAGAAAAATATCTTTTAAATGTGATGTATAAGTCAGTTTCATTATCTTCTAGCAGAACTCACTTGGAATGAATTCAATTAGCAGAAGTCACTTGGAGTGAGTTAAGTTGCTTTATTTTCATTTCACTACTAAATGCATAACTAAGCAAGTTTATTGCACTATTTTACTTCTGAGACTTACATGTGCCTGCTATTAGAAATAAGTGGTGGAAATCCAAATACCTATTGCATCTGAGCTATGGAACACAAAGAGAAGCTAGTGGCCATTCTCAGTCCAATGGCTTTCTAAAGTTCTCATTGTGGTTAGTATCTTTGTCCCCATCCCTCATCCTAAAGATCAGGCAAGCAAGATTATACAGCGTTCTCAAAATACTTTTACTTTACAGCTTAACTAGAAATGTTCTCCTGTTTCTTTCCTGGGTTCCAGCTTGGAATAAGAACTAAGGAACAAGAATACTGCATTTTGCTTTCAAAGTATAGAATAGAATTTGATACAGAAAAGGTGCATTTTTTCTGTTTTAAAGACATCCACAGTTCACTATGAATCATATGATCCTATTACAGAAAACAAAGGATGACTATTGATCACACTTGAAGTTGGCTATGAAATGCAATCTGCATTTCTCAGTCAAGCTAAAAGATCTGTTACTGATAAATAGAAAATGTAACGGTATTTTAAAATGTCACTCTGGTCAATCATAAAAAAAACATATTAGGCAACTTACCTGTGTATCCTGCAGTTGTGATTCCAATGTAGAGAAATCTTTTGCTAATTTAATAGTTTTGCTATCAGACTGATTCAAAAGGCCAGTGATGTTGTCTAACTCAACCTAAAAAACATTGAAACCATCCATTAGCAAAAGTCATTTATTACTGGGTATCATCTTAATATGGCAGGCAAGATACATATACCAAGCAGCATATTTATATTAGATGCTTATTATCCATCTAAATTACAAACACACTATTTTATTTATTTACAGGAGTTATGTGGTCACCAATTCTCCTATGATGATTTTAGGCTGCTCACAAGAATTCATTAAAAAAAATAGTTAAAAACAAAAGCGCTCTTTCCCTCAATCATTCTCACATCTCTACACCCATTCTACCCCAATACTTGAGAGAAGAAGTATGTCTTCACTGCCCTTTGAAGGCTAAAAGAATGAGGATCCCTCAGATGTCAGGTACGAGGCTATTCCAAAGGGCTGGAGGGATGACTGAGAGCAGGTGTGCCTCCAAAATCCAATCAGGTAACAGCATTTTTAAGGGAAAAGCCTGGAACATACCCTTAACAAGCCTAATAGGAAAGACAGATACTCTCAGAGAGAGGCAGTCCTGCAGGTAACCCGATTCTGTGCCATGTAGGGCTTTAAATGTAGTAACTTTACATGGACTCTTGCAAAGCTATTTAGTATATTTGACATAATTTGGAACTGGGGTGAAGCAATAATTCTAGGGGTTTCAACACAGTTTTCTTTTGCCCCTGCATTTGCAAGGTAGCTAGATATCAAGAACCAAAAGGGAACTTATACTGAATGCTTACCTGCAACTTGTTAACTTTCTCAGTGAGTTCGGTCCGGACTCTCTCCCCTTCTGTGAATTTTACTTGCAGCTCTTGGAGTTGAGCGTCAACCCTCTTCCTTTTGTGCTCAGAGTCTCCTTTGCTCTGCAGAAGTGCTTTCACCTCATTTGAGAGTTCAGCACATTCACTCTCCAGGGACTGTTTTGCCTTTTCAAGATTCACTTTCACCTTTAGAAGACAAGAACAATTTTATAGTGAGGCAGACTGCTCTAGAAGTTTTAATTTCATTCATTCAAAATAAAATTTTGATGTAGGAGTCAGAATGCTGATATGAATTTGGACACTACTGAACAGTGAACCTGTAGGTTTTCAATTCTGTGTTAATAAGATTTGTGTTATCATGAACTGAAACTTCCTGCAAGGCTCACAATGCCTATGCCAATAAAGCAAACTGAAAAGATTCTGCAGATTTACCAGTTATAATAAAAAATAATATTTATATAATATCTAAAATACCCATTCCCCCATAGGTAAAAGACAATCTGTTAGCAACTATTAGCTTGCCTAATTATCATCCATCCTTAAATCAAGTATCTGTCTCTGTTGCTTTTCAGATATTGAAATGAGTGGCCTATTTTCAAAAACATTATGTGACAGCTTCACCTTTAATCTCTACTGAATCATTTGTTAATATAATTCATGCAATTGGCAATCTGTTCTAAAAACTGCAAACTGCATCAGTGTTGTGCTCAGATACAGGTACTAAAACACAATCTTGGCCCTTATCAGGATATCTAACGAATGAAAATGTTTGGTTTTGTTAAAAAAAATTACATACTCGTTTAGTTTGCTCTAGCTGTTCAGCCAGCTCTTCTATTGCCTGGCTGTGCTTCTGCCTCATCTCCTGTATCTGAGCCTCATGAGTTTTTGCCTCTTCATCCAGGGTTTTCTTTAGAATAGTCACTTCTTGCTCACGTTTTGACCTATCAGGAAGTCACAAACACCTTTGTTAGACAACCATTAATAGAGTTACCTTATTTGTATCCCAAAGTTAATATAGAGATTGAAACTCTGCATAAAAAGAACTGCCCAGAGTCACTTGATATATAAATTGGATGGATGGATGGATGGGTGGGTGGGTGGATGGATGGGGGGAGGAAGGGAGGGAGGAAGAGAGGGGGGAATTGCACAAGATGTCAGTATTTTTGGTTAGGAAAACTGCAAATCTTAAGACCCAAGTGGGGGACCTGTATTTTTTATGTATTGAAGAAACAGATTGTTACAATCACCTGAGTTCCTGCTGTGCTGCAGTTGAGTCTAGCGTATCCTCTAGCTCAGTCTTAAGAGCCTCAAGCTCTTCACCCAGATCCCTCTTCTGCTTCTCCGCTTTGTTTCGAAAAGCGCGTTCAGATTCCAAATCCTCCTGCAATTCTGTTATTTGGGATTCAAGTTCACGGATCTTCTTCAGAGCCATGTTTTTCTGAGCAGCCTCCTCTTCCACTCTGCACAGTTCAAAGGCACAAAGAGCATGCCACATTATTTCATGTTTTTGTACAGAAAACTTATCTTCTTATACACATTTACCTGAAAAAACATCCTTCTGAACTCACTAGAATTTACTTCTGAATAAATTGTATAGAACTATATGATAAATGCTATTCTAACAAGTTATTAATATGTGAACTTGTTACATCTATAATTGGATTCTATTTGAAATGCTTGGTTTCATTTTTCCATACCAGAGAAAGTATCAATACTGGTTAGTTTGAGGAGGCTAACTACTCGAGTGCTTTAAACTGATGCCAACTGATAGGTCATGAGACGTCATGACTCTTTTTTTTTTTTAAAGTTATAGGTCTGCTATCCCTATCCCATCTCCAATTAGAAATACAACTAAGCTCACCTAGCCAAAGCTGCTTGAAGCTCCTCTTCTTTTTTTGCCAGCTGCATTTTTAGTTCTGCTATTTGAGCTTGCAGTTCAGCGATTTGATCGTGCAGATCTGTGGAGTCTCCCTCTAGTTTTCTGCGAGTCTTTTCCAATTCTTGACGGTGCTTTTCTTCCCGGCGTAATCGTTCTGAAAGAAATAATAGATTTAGATGCATCTCCGATTTCAAAATACTATTCAAATACACAAATAGCCAAAGTGTAACAACTTACACTTGTATGTGGCAGAGATGATGACCTACAGCATAGTTCCCAGTTCAGGCTTCCACATTAAAATGAAACCCAAGAGTGAGAAATATTGCCCTTGGACCTCTTTGGGCTAATTCATTCCTCTCCATAAAACATTGAGGCTAAAGCAGACATCATCATCTTTATGGAGATGGTGAAAAACCATCACTAACATTCTGAATGTTGGAATGATAATCAATTTTAAAAATGTTTAACCCTTAAGCCAGTATAATTAATAACTACAAACATCTATCTTTTAGTTACTAGCTGCAACAGAAACCTAAAGATTCAGACACCACTGTATACACAAGAAGATATTCCCTCAGGAGGAGAAATTAAACTAGCCCTTCTTCCTTACTTGTCTATTTTAGACATTGTTTTTATTCAGAGCACAGCTTGCCTGAGTGTGTAACCTTCAACCGATCAGCCACTGAATGGTTCTATCTGACTGATCAATATGCCACATACAAATACTCTATGATTGTGACATTAACTCTTTGAGATTCAGTCTCCAATAAAGATGTAACCACTTTTGTATGGCGAGTAAGAAATTCTAATGAGGAGAGGTTGAATAAATCCACCTCTATGAAGGTTTTTCTCCTACCTTCCAATTCTGTTATCATAGCCTCGTGTTTGTTCTTGAGTTTAGCTAAACTCTTTGATTTTTCTTCTTCCTCTGTCAAGTTAGTAGTGAACTCTGCAATCCTCTCTTCCAATAATTTCTTTTCCTAAAAAATAAAATGTGTATGATAAAAACATTTGCTGTCATAAATCCTTCAGGATATCATGGTGGTAAGTTATTTACTAAATGAATCTTTTAAATGAAATTAATCATATCCGAGCTATTTCCTAGCAATATACTGAAATGCCTCAATAATTGAAAATCAGAAATATTATATAGTCACCATAAATTCCTAGATCAAGTATGGACTACTTTAGGGGTCATGTATTTTATTTTTAACACTTCTTCAAGAGCTTAGCTGGTGACATACCACTAAAATCAATGGGATCAAAAATTTCAGAATATTGGGGAAGGTTAAGAGTTGATAGGGATTACAAGACAAAATAAATACCCAAGGAATTTTTTTTACCCTTTCTTTTAACAAAATATATATATATGGGGAAAATCACATTGCCAAATCTCAATTGTAATCTAGGGAGGGCAGACTGGAGCTCACAAAAATGGAGCTAGGGCAGCATATGGTATACCTGGGTCCTTAATGATTCTTTGGTGCTAGGAGGCCTATATCCAAATAATTATTGACTTCTTTTTTTTAAGAAAGCCAACATTTGACCACTGAAACCTCTTTTTGCTATTACTTACTTTCAATATTTAGAAACAACTGTACATAACACAACATATTTAGCCCATGGCAGAAATCTCTGCAACTTTTGCTGAAGCTCTGTATTTCCACAAGAAAGAACTTCCTGCAATTGATTGAGCAAGACACCTCACAAAAGCATTAAACACACATTAAAAATATTTAAAATTAAATGTAAAATTATCTAAACATATAAAGGTTGCATAAAAACAAAATTCAAGCAATCTTTTGAAGTAATTTATTTGCCATGAACATGTTTTTGAATAATTGCTTATACTTTTGAAAAGTGCCAAAAAAAAAATGTATCGTGAATTTACTTTTCCCCGAAAGGAAGATCAACATTTGTTAATCATCAATCATCATCTTGATATTCACATACTCTTCTCACCAGTGAGACAAGTGGTTTAGTGATACAAGTGCGCAGCTATAGCTGTGCTGTAGTTACTCCTTGTACCATTTCATTCTTAATGATGTTACTGGCTCTGGTCTCAATATTGATACTTCTAAAGAACTAACAGAAGTAACAGCAATCAATGATAAATATTCAATCAACTGAAGTAGCTTTTTCCAACTTCAGGCCTATGGAGAGTTTGTGTCAACACCAATCCTACCTCCCAACTAAACAGTTGGATTAAAATCATAATTTGATACCCTCCAATCCAGAGGTGGTATTCAGCAGGTTCTGACCAATTCTGGAGAACCTAGTAGAAATTTTGAGTAGTTCAAGAGAACCGGCAAATACCACCTCTGACTGGAGATTTTACAGTATCCTTCCCCTGCCATGCCTACCAAGCCACGCCCACAGAACCGGTAGTGAAAAAAATTGAATCTCACCACTCCTTTAATGAAGCATTCCACAAAAATAAATATTAAAAAAAATCTTCCTTTTCATTCTATATTAAGTGTACTCCTAATTGAATAGTTTGATTAGATGGTACAATAATTGCATTGGGGGATGTAGGGAATCAAGATATCTGTTCAAAATGTTAATTGCAGAAATTACAGGCATTTAAGACCTTTCTCAAATAGCAAATGGATTAGAAATATCTATTTGGTACGTACAGAACAAAGTTATCTTATTAACAATCTCCAGTTATTTATACACTACCAGAGTTTGGCAAAGGAAACTAGAAGTAATATAAATTATCACATTCATGATGAAAATGATATGGTATGTTTCACCTCTTTTCCCACTTCACCATATAGCAAAGTTTTGTTTACCTTGGCCAGTTTGCAGTTCTGATCTTCAAAGACTATCAAGTCTTCCTCCAGTTTCTTTAATTTTGCTTCAGTGGTAACTTTCTCCAGTTGTAGTTTTTGTCTAGCACTTTCTTCTTCTTCCAGCTGCTCTTCCAGCTCCTGCACAGACAAGGAAAAACATGGCATAAAGTATCCAGCCCAGCCTTAGATTCTGCCATCCCTTTCTAAGAATTATAAGCCCATCTTTTTTTCAACAGCTAGAATATCTGAATGGAAATAACAAAACCAATAATGGAGACATGACTTTACAGAACCCACTTTTGTCCATCACCCACATTCTGCTATCTTTTGTTATAATGTCTTCTTTCACCTCCATGACTACATCAATCATTAGGTATTGCAATATGTCAACACTCCTATTCTGTATGTTACCTGAATGTTTTGAAGCATCTTCTTTTTCTCAGTTTGCAGATGCTGGCACCGTTCCTCTTCTTCCTCCACTCTAGATTCCAAGTCATGGCATATCTCCTCCAGCTCTTGTTTTTTAGCTGTCAGGCGGGCTCTGATCTCCTCTGCCTCAGCACAGAGCTCTATCTCTGCTTGCAACTGCTCTTGTAACTGCATTTTCTCTGTCATGAGCTGAAAAAGAAAATCACAAGCCAAATAATTTATAATTTAGCTGAAGTTTCTGCAAGCAAACCAATGATAGGTTTTATTCACACCATGACGGGTGATTCAGTCTGTTTATTGTCCATGCCATTAGCGTAGTAGTGTAAATTCAAGGATTTCCATTCCTATGTTAATGGATTTTAAAAATTGGAAGCAAAAAGTTTTAAAATAACAGCAGAAAAAGCAGATCTTATTTCATGGTTTACTTCACTGGTTTACCTCCTCAATTTTTTTTTCATAGTTTTATGTATTGTATATCATTCATGTGCAGCTTACATTGATCCATATCAGTAGCTATTCTAAGCTTCCATTACTTCCTAGAAACAATTTTGTCCTTCATTTTAATATGATCCTTGAAATCAAACTTCAAATGCTCTGTAGCCGCACAATACTATCTGCATTTGAATTCCTATATGCGCCGTTTCTTAATGCTAACTTTTTAGCCGGTCAGTCATACATTTCTCCATGTTAGAAGAGGTATAGAATAGATTAAGTAGAACACTAGCTGACATTTAAAAGCACTCCGCAGGAGAAGTGATTTATGCAATGGCAAATTAATAAACTATATTCCCTGCATGAATCAGGTGTAAACAGTTCCAAGAAACCCCTGGACCCCTATTATTGTCTATACAAGTCTGTATCAAGGAAACGTATGCATACAACTTTATATACTATTAGCTATGTATCAGAGAAAGGAGGATATGGGGTGTTGTTGTTTTTTAATATGGGAAAATTGTATCACTCTATTCCAAACAATAGTCCATCCTATAAAGAAATTTACCTCCTTACTTCACAGATCATTTAAATGTAGATAAAAGAATACACAGAAATATGTATTTTACATGATGCTGCATCTACAATGAAAAGTATTCTGTGCTCTTTACCAAACTTAAAAAAAAAAACACAAAAGCAGCCATCCATTTTGTAACTATTCAACCATTAATGTCAAACATAAGCTTATAAAAGGCTACCCCCAAAGTCAGTTACAATACTTTAAGAATATGAACAAGTAACAAAGGGACACATCAGAAGGCTAACCACTTTTTCACCTGTGTATGGAGAGTTTCCATTTCGGTCAATCTGCTTTCGGCAGCCACCTGCTTTTCCTTCACTTTCAGCAACTCTTCTTCCTTGGCCAGCATTTCTTCTTCTTGCCTACTCACTTGCAACAGTGGCTTTACCTGCCGAGAGACCATTTCAGGAGTAAGTTATTTCACAGTTACAGATTTATCACTGGAGGAGTATTTGGCCTAACTGGACAGATTAACTAGTGAAGAATCGATGCCTAGCACTATAGCTGATCTTCCTATTCCTGAAGTTTCTTCCAAGTCATACCTTTGTAAACAGTCGCCACCACTGCCAGTTGCGAAGCTTTAAATAGGCAGCACAATTCCTCTGCAGCACTTTCATTGCTGTTAATTGTTGCTGGCGTTTGGCAAAAGCCCTGAAATGGAAAAAAAGAAGTATCCTCAGATTCTTTCATTCTTACTCATTAGTAGAGCTGTCACACAATTGCACTTTTCCTTTCCCATCCTTGTCTTTAATTCTCAATTCTTTCTTCTCCATGATAAAATTTACACATACACACACACGCATACACACACACCATTTACCTACTTTAAAAGATCTTGTTTGCCAATTTTCAAAGTTGACTAAATTCAGAATTACCAGCAATTTGCTGTCAGCTAATGACATTAATGAGAAAGGATTGTGCATTACCGTATACCTACTTTCTAGCTAAGTAGCCTCTACAGCATGCCTGGAACCCAATGATGACATCGGTGATCTTCAAGTCTCTTTCTTCTTCAAGGTGAGCAAGGACTCCTGCTCGGAAAAACACTTTGCTCTGTCCAATTCGATAAAGATTTGGGTCTAGCTCTAAGGCTTTGATCTAAAATGAAAGAGAAGAAAGTTAAGTTGTCAATATTGAAAAATGTATTCATTTATCATTTCTTATCACACTCAGTCTTTAAACAAGCTAAAGGAACTTGGCACGAGCCTCTCAAATATTCAGTCCAATACTCAGCAATCTTCAGAACTTTGCTAACTGAGGCAAACTCCTTAAAAAAAGGAGTTTCAGGACATATAATCTTCTGTTCTGAAACTATCAAAAACTAGAACATATACCTTAAAACAGCTTCAGCTACACAAGCTATAAATGGTGTGGGCTATTCAGCACACATAACATCACTGCTCCAGGAGCCACATTGTTGCCAGTGTTTTTCTGGATGCTGCTGGTCACTTTTAAAACCCATCATAGTTCGGGAGACACTACACGAGGGACTGTCTTATTCTAACTGATTCTAGCCATCTAATCTGGTCTGGCAGGATCGACAGCTTCAGGTCCCATCAGTCAAGGAATGACAGTTGGTGGAGACTAGATGATGCCATAGCCCCTGCCTTCTGGAATATTCTCCTTCTTAGAGATTAGAATGGTTCTAACCCTGCTGGCCATTCAAAATATCTTGAAAATCTTGCTATTGTGTAATGGCCTGGGGTCCCTAGTGTGTGAAGGGCCCCATTTCCTGGTTATATTGACACAGACTGACTATATTTCCTGACTACAATTTTTATTTAATTCCTTGTTGGTATTATGTTTTAACTATTCTGTTTTAATGATTGTTTGCTCTCCAGAGTCACTGGTTTGAGGCGGATGGCTACACAAATTGAATGAATGAATGAAATCATTAACTGAGATTAATTCAATATAAAATATTAAATGCATTTTCCATAAACTGGGGCCCTCCAGATTACTTTAAATGGTCATGTACTTAGGAAGTTTTATTTTCTCTAGAACACATCAGTTGGGAGGACTGATTTAGAAGTTTTAAACATTCAAATTTCAGAGTATGCCAGATAAAGAAGGAGTGAATTTAGCTTCTCTGTATACTTCTTACAACTTCATTTCAAACAGGAGACTTACCATGAGCACACAAGCCTGTTTTCCATCCATGAAACCTTTAGGAATTGCATTTGGAGTCAAGATCTCATATCTAGAAGGAGAAATAATACAGTCATTAAATTGTATTTAAGTGCTTGAAACATAAACTAGGAATAACAAGATTGTTTTCCAATGGAATTCTGGAAGATGACTCAGTTTTTAATTTTAAAAAAATGAAGCAACCTTGTTTGAAGTTGTATCAAAAACATGTTATAACTGATATTACAGCTTTTAGCATCATACTTACTAGCACAAAAAGACATGTTAATAGGATGAGCCTGCAGGTATGATCCTGTTTATACCACCTCCCGGCACTCAGTATTCACATATCTCTGATACTATTAAATGCTGAACAGATTATATATTACCACAGAATGAACAAAACATTATTTAATGCAGTAGCCAAAGCATACTAAAAAAATGAACACAGAAGCCAACAATCTTGAGTTAATAATCCACCTTACAATCTGAAACTATAACTCAACTTTACCTTTGTCTGAACTCCTGGAAGACAACTCTGTTAGGGAAACCTTGCCGGCAGATACGGATCCCTTCCAGGACTCCATTGCAACGAAGCTGATCCAAAACCAAGTGTGGATCCAGTTTTCCAGCCTGTGAAGAAAATACACATATTAACAGAATCTCTATATATCACATGGTTACCGAGGCACTGCAGCCAAGGATCTATACTGTGTGTTCCGTTTTACACTTCCCTTTAGAGAACATCTCTGGCTAAAGTCATACTAAAACATAAAAAGCGGATTACTGTAATATGTATTCAAATGGGCCTCCTTGAGGGATGAGATGGAACATATGACTTCAAGATGGTTTCAATCAATTTACTTTCAGGCCCAAATTAATGTGTTTTTTTCAGTTATGATCTTTTTTTCTATTAACTGTTTCATCCCATAGGGACAAAGCATTCCTCCCCACCCGTCCCTGAATCCCCCCATCTCCGCATCTGCACCCATCTGGGGTTCAGCAGGCATGAGCAAAAAGCTGAGTTTCTTCAGTTGTGACTTTTTATTACCAAATTCCCTCTCTGGGTTCTAATATCAACTGTCTTCTGCTGGATGAAGAAAACATGTCTCTTTTGGACATTTTTTTTTTAAAAAAGCACATGTATTTCAGCAACTAAAAGGTATGGAAAATGTTACTTCTTGCTCTTGCTACAATGTTTTTTCTTGCTCTCTTGATTTATAATCCTGTTTCTCAGCTTCCTAAATTTTATGTGCGCATATATATCCCATTATCTATTGTCATACAATACTTTGCAGGCTATACTCAAGTAAAGACTGTAGAGATTCCCAGTCATCCAGGTCATGGTTGTCCCAAAGGTGCTTTTTCAGGAGGCAAGAAAGTCCAGTTGCCTCCTGAAAAAGCACCTTCGGGACATTCAAGTAAAGAGGTCTTGCTTGATATTCACTGTTTCACATAGAAATACTTCTGACATTTAGTATTCCTTCTAGAAATTTTAGGAATGGCAAATATGTTCAAAGCAGAAACACAATTATAAATACATCAAAAAGAACACCAATATTTATAGTCCTCATTAAATCACTTCTAAGGTTCATATATGGTCCATATATGACCTAATGTTACTTTTAGTATCCAAAATGTTGAACTTTACCTTCTTCTCATGATTAGGGATGATACAACGGACAAAGTTGGGATTGGTGTTCCTCAGAGTAGCCATCAGTTTGGCTAGTTGTTCTTTATACAATTGTCCTACTGTTCGGAACATGCCTTTCCTGGTTTTAAAGGCTCCAGGTAATGCTGAATCTGAGATGCCAGCAACCTGATCCAGTCCAACGATGCGGTCAACTGGTAGAAATACACAGGACTATTAGATTGTTCTCCCTAATTTTCATGTTTGAATGCATAACTTAATAAGGATGCAAAAAGAAATTGTTTCATCTTTTTGTAGATATAGAACTCTCATAATTTATACTGAAATAACAGCAAAAACAGAAAGCAAACAGTCAACAAGTACAGGTAGGATCCATCTCATGGATAAAGGGTTTTTTTCATGCAAACTACTTGAACTAATGGTATCAAAGTAATTCAAAATTATGACAAACATAAGCTTATCACTAGGGAATAGATCCATTTACTTAAACAGGTTGAAAAAATATTGAAAGCAGTATGTTTAAATTTCTTCTGTAGTACACAGCAACTTATATCATTACAATTATTTATTTAATATGTAGAATTTATGAAACTGTAGCCAAACATTCCAGGTGATATAGAGAATATATTTTAGCTGATGTAGTGCACAAAGAGAGAGTATTTCAATACTATGTATAATGCCATTGCACTAAGCAACCAAACCCATTCATTCATTTTATTTTCTTACTGTCAATGTACCAGAATGCTAAGATGATTAAAGAATATATCATGCACTGACTGCTTTAGTAGGAAAAAAGCAGTTTTTATAGAATTACTCAGGATGATAGGCATTGTAGCAGACTGAAACTTTTGGAATTGGACAGATTAAAACTAATTGGACAGATTGGAACTAATCAAGTCATTGATGGTTGATAGCAGCCAAGGCAACTCTTCTATTCTCAATCATATGAGAAAACTTATTAAAATCAATAATAATACCCAAAGGAAGCCTTTAAGTTGCTAATAGTGAAATGAGGAAATTACAAGAAGCATGATTCATATGGCTTGGTTATAAAATCAAGATATTGCTTTTTTCTCTTAAAAATAACTATTCAGTTGACTCAAGAGGAAGAAATAATGATACTTGTGCTATCACTGAGACCGGGCCAAAATGCTCTTTGGAAGAATTGATGTCCAAGTAACTATTTGGAGACAGAAAATATTTAATTTTTCAAAGAAGAAATTTACCAGAGATGATCAGCTATATTATTTTAACTAGTTACAGCAGTTCTTAGTAGCCATTAATGTATTTCATGGGTTCTTTATATACACAATGATCAGACTGGTGCCAATCTTGGTTGGTTGCCAATTTTAATGGTGACACTGGCCTCATAATCAGTACATGATTTCAAACCAGAAACAGCTTCCTTTGGTGAGAGATTTAAGATATTATCTATATATGTCTTTGTTGTATCTGCAAGATCACAACTTGCTTAAAAATCAGTTTTTTCAATGTTCAAGAGGAAGCTACTAGCAAAAAGCAGAGGAACTGAATGAGACAGACAAGCAGAAACAGGAAAAAATAGGAAGATTTAATGGAAGCATTTCTTGCATGGTTCTAGAAGGAATCACACACAACACAATAGCTGCATTGCTCAGTCACCTGGTTCTAGATGAAGAATAGGAAAATGTTGATAGAAATAGGCTCTCTGAGCGTTCTGTATCTCTGCAACAGAGACGTCAAAGAAAAACCCAAGAAAAGAGACAGTAATAGTAAAATTTAAAGCAAGAAATATTCTGTAGAGCAAGATATCTAAGAACACTGGAATAGGCAAAAATAGACTTTTGATCCCAAATTTGGATGGGGTGTTCTGAGGAACATATGCTTGAATGTTATTCTGCTGCCTGATGAACTGGAAAAGGGTCCAATGTATTTCAGTAACAGGAGAAATACCATATTGTCAAGCATTTTAAGAGAAATGAAAATAGCAAATGTCAATTTTAAGAGGAGGCCGCTCAAACTCATGCTTCCAAACAAAGGACAACACTCTTAAAGAAAAACAAGAAAAGCAATATGATTACATACCATCTTTCCATAGGTCAGATACAAACTTATCAGAGGACTGGTGTAGCAGAGTAGCAACATTATCATTAAGAGGGTCCATGTTCTTCATCAGCCACTCATCAGCTTTATAATCAACCTAGAGAAGACATTTGTTGCCAATATTAACTACATATTATCAAATTGCCTCAGTAATATCTAAAGAGACAAGGTTATGAATCTCTCTATTTTGAGATTAAACACTGGTCTAGATCCATTGCACAAACAATGAACTCTATGTGAATGACCTAAGACCCCTTAAAAATGCTGGAAACATCAAGTTAACAATGATTAATAGTCAAAGGCACAGAATCCATAAAAGTCATGATTCTGCTCTTCCAAAATACAGGCTCACAAAATGTTTTAGCCATTACCCTGAGAAAATAAGAATTGTTTCATGGCAGGATTTTTTATTAGTGTGCTACCACAAAAAATTGTGGTCAACATGCTTCCTATTATCTTGTGGGATAAGTGATTATGCACCCTTTTGCACTACTGAAGAACTCTCCCCCCACCCAAAAAAAATCAATCAGTTTAGATTACTGCAGCTGCAGATTTAGAAGCATTTTAGTCTCTCTTTACACTAAGAGTACTTACTCTGCCAGCATAGTGTATAATGCAGAAGTCAGCTTTATCTTTCAGCTGTTTCGGTTTTTGGAATTTAGGATGAGAGCCTTGCTCTTGCACCACCTTCTCTACAAAGCTTTTGTCTGTAGCCTTTGGAAACCAGCACTCTTCATCCAACAGTGCCAAAATGCCAGGAGGACCAGCCTAATTTAAAAAAAAAAAGTTAATAAACATTCTTGCCAAGATTTAACACTTCAGGATAAAAGGCAAAAATACTATTTTCATTTGTACTCAAGAGTGGCTTCCTGTATAGGTCAGAGCTGTTTTCAGCACCTCTTTCGCCAAATCTTGCCTTAATTTTTCATGTTTTCCAACCTAAAGTGTTTTAGAACTAGAAGAATTGAACTCTATCTCCATCCCTAAAAAATGATTAACTATTTAACATACACATACATATATATATTTATACATACATACATACATACATACATACATACTGGCTCTCCTTAGTGAACTGGCTACCATCTGCTAATAATCATGACAAGATGCCTCACTCACTGGTTTTTCTATAAGATCAATGCAAGGCTGCAAGTCCAGGCCAAAGTCAATGAAGTTCCACTCTATGCCCTCCCGCTGGTATTCTTCTTGTTCCAAAATGAACATGGTGTGGTTGAAGAGCTGCTGCAACTTTTCATTGGTGTAATTAATGCACATCTGTTCAAATGAGTTCAGCTATTGCAGATAGAAAAGAAAAAGCATGTTTAAATTCCATCTACCCAGGGCCATCTTAACAGCATTATGGGCCATAATCAAGACTGTCATTTTATTGATAATTTATTTCATAGCAACAAATCTATCCCCAAATGCTACAAAATTTCTGCTACAAAATGCAATTTTTAAAGCAAATACTTAACACATTTTTCTTTACTAAACTAAATCTCAAACAGAAAAGCAACTTGCACTTTTTTACATTTTAAAGCAAATTCATCCAGTTTCTTCAAAAGAATCATTCCTTCTGACTTCCTGCCTGTATCCTAAATATTTTGTCCCTTCTCTCCAAGATTAAAGAAAATTATGTATCATAGAGGCATCACATCACAGTGCTTAAAGTTAATAAAGGTGGACCCCTTTAGCATTTCAGGAAGGGTTGGAGGTACATAGGTAATGAAACATCCTCTTACTGTCTGAAACCATTAAAATGCAAAGATAATTCAAATGAGTTCTTCAGGTAACAGTATGTAATTTATTATTTTTTTATGTTTTAGCCTAGAGCATTAACTCCAAGTCCTCGCTTATTTAGGCATATATCAACTTAATTCAAGCATATTTGATACATTTTTAAATTAGGAACTAAATATAAATTGACTGTTAAGTTCTATAAAAACACATTTCTATTAAATTCTTTGTTGCTTAAAGAAGCAAAATGTATCAAATATGCTTCCTTCATGGAGATGTTTAGATTATGTCAAATGGATTAATTAAACAGCTGTTCCCTTTCACTTACTTCAAAGATTTCAAATCCAGCAATGTCAAGGATTCCTATAAAAGAAGCTCCCTGCCTCTTTGTCTTATCCAATGCCTTGTTGATGCGCATCACCAGCCAACGGAACATGCGTTCATATGTAGCTTTGGCCAGAGCTTCAATAGCAAAATCAGCCTGGAAAAAGGTAACAAATCTATTGTACATTCCAGATAGCAAAATAAAAAACCTCACCCTCCAATAATGAATCTACGTTTACAGATCTGAATTTCTGAGTTATTTCAATTCCTTCCAGTCTTTCTCTACATCCATGTAGTGGACTGCTACTGGCCTAAAAACTAGGAGACTGCGAGTTCTAGGTCTCTAGGTTAGGATGAAAGACAACTTATATTTAATAGCATTATCTTTAGTGTTGCAGTCATAGATTAATTAATTAAGATGGCCAGCAAGGTTCATTCTTTCTATTTACTTTTCTACATCTTAAGTGGCTTATTCTACAATAAAACTGGATTTATATATGTTGCAGCTGCATAATACCTAAAATTTGGACCAATCAGATATCCACTTGCCAAGTTCAAATGCAAGAGCCAGTCAGTTTTTGTCCAGTTGCCTATGAGCTGCTGAGAATAATATTACAAAGCAATTCAATCTGCTTTTGAGAACGCGGGTAAAATGGGTACCAGAAAAATAGACCATGGACATTCAGTGTGAAAGCTCACTGCTATCTGATTAATGTCATGTGAGAAAGCTGACATCATATATTGTATAATACATACTTGCTCTTTAGTCTGAGCCTTTTGAACATAATCTCGGCCCACTTTGATGCGAGGGGTGAGAATGCCTCTGGTGAAGTCTGTAACATTGATTCCTAGAAGGTGAGAAACTTTCTGAGCAGCTACAAGAGAGAAAGGCAAAAGAAGATGCTTAGTATTTTAACTTCTTAGATTCTATTCAGAAAAGATAAATACTTGCAGCAAATTCTCCTGGTCCCTAATGACAGCCAGCACATCTGGGAGACTAGAATTGAACGGAAAGGATTCATCTATAAAAGGGCACAAGTGATCCCTATACATCCTCCCTTCCCAGAAAGAGGATTGTATACTGTACTCGTGAAAGGTCCAATGCGTTTCTTCCAAATAATTTTTAATGAATGTGTTGCCTAAATAGAGAACTGATTTTTGAAGATTTTTGCTGAGAACGTCTCCAATGGAGAATCATCTCTAATTTTATTTCTGGAAAAGGTTTACAGAATACTAGCTTCTATTCATTAGAAGTATTCATGCAGTCTGACATGGATAATTCAACCTTAACCTCTTCACTGATATCAAAGTTTGGAGAAAAATACCAGCTGATCTCATTTAATGAGACAACCATAAAAATCATTTAATGATACACCTGTTTTTAAATTTACAATATGAACTATACAAAGAAAAGAAATCCATATCTAGAAAAATGTATCTACCTGTATTGTCTGGCATGGACGCCTGATCTGTGTTACGTTCTTTCTTGAAAATAATATTCCCAAGCTGAAGAACACCAGAAATAACCCTTAGTAGTCCTGGATGGGAAACAAAGCAGCAATACAAATTTCTTAAGTGTTCAGTTAGATTTTTTTAATCTAAAAATGTTTCATTCTCTGGATACAGTTATACCCATGTGACCTGTTCATGGTAATTCCATACCCCTTCCCATCCAGTTTTATCTCATCACACCAGCTGGCATTTTGTGGCAACTGAGCAGCTTCAACTCTCAGCAGTTTGTTTTTGCAAGCCACCCACCTCTTAGATCCACCCTTTACAAAATCTTGTTCTTTTACAATCACTGAAATTTTTCCAGACCCATTTCCATCTCTATTCTGTGGAAGAAACATAGGACTTAATAAAAGCACCTGAGCTACCACAGAGAACAGGAAATGAATTTTCCTGTGCCTCATTTATTATACAAAATGTATATTTCCAATATAGAATTGTAGTTATATAGCTCTCCACATGAGGTAGTAGTGAGCACTTTCTAATAATTTCTCTACAAAACATATTCTAAGATAGAAATAACAATATCTTATTGGGACATTTTGTGCATGAAATGTCCCAATGATTAGCCAACAAATTAGTTCCATTTCCATTTTTAAACAAATACTATTTTGAAGGGTAGAACCTTTAGCCTAAATGGCTTCCATATGTTTCAAGTTTGCCTGTCTGTTTAAGGCAGTTTAAGGGTTGAAATATGGTAGAAACAGAAGCATACATCCTGTCTTCCCAATTATCCATGTGAATATCTCAAACTTTTATTAGTGTTCAGCAAGCATTGAACAGCTGTTAGAATGACAACAAACCTGGAGTTTTAGCTATGCTTTCAAGCAAGCATAATAAAAAGTTTGTGGTAACCAGCCCACCCATATTCAGTTTTCAATTTTCTCCCTCATGAAAATAATAATTATAAGGCTGCCTAAATGTATAGTGTGCCACTTTTTATTATTAATCTTGTGTTAAGTTTCATAGTTAATTCTCATGCCTTAAAGCAAGGCTGTCAAACTCCCAGTCCATGGGCCAGATGCGTCATGTATTGGCCATGCCCAGTTTAGCGAATGGGGGAAAAGTCCTGATACATCACATGCCGCCATGATGCCGCGAGTTTGACACTCCTGCCTTAAAGAAAATCATGGATGCTTGATGAAAGGACCACATAACAACAAGCAGTGCTTCAAAAACTGTGGTTTTTATCTCCACAGGTGAGTCACAGGAAGTACTGAAAGTATTAGACCCAGTGAAAAGTTTGAAAATGAGAGAAACCTCATTAAAAACAAGAAGTGTTGTTGCCAATCAATGGTACACCAATTGTAGAGAACTGTGTGTTATTTCTTAAAGTGGGCATCTTGTTTATTTTGTTATTGTAAATTATTTTTCTACATTAAACATAATCCTCCCACTCCATGTTTAAATGAAAAACAGATAACATGTTTTAGTTGACTTCATATAAAGCTGCATTCATTGTTTTCTATTATTTGCCTATTGATACTTGATTACTTGTACTTGTTCCTATTTTGTTTTTTCCAATTGTAGTAAGACTAGCGTTCATTGCATGATATACATACAGGACTTACAACAGTTTGCTCAGTGACTGTTTGAAATTGCAGTGGTATGGAGAAAAGAGAGATGACTATTTTTCACATGACCGTTGTAGCATCCCTATGGACACATGATCAAAATTTGGATGCTTGGCAACTGGCTCATATTTATGATGGCTGCAATGTCATGTGATCACTTTATGCAACTTTATGACAAGCAAAGTCAATGGAAAAGCCAGATTCGCTTAACAACCATGTGACTAATTAAACAATTGCAGTGAGTCACTTAACAACTGTGGGAAGAAAGGTTGTAAAATGGGGCAAAACTCACTTAACTGTCTCATTTAGCAACAGAAATTTTGGGCTCAAATCTGGTCGTAAGTTGAGGACTACCTGTATATAATTGTCATAACACTTATTTTTCTTGAGCCATTTCTATAATATCTTACCCATCTGCTCATCATCTGGAATACCCATTATCCTCATTGCCTCCATGGTCTCTTGAAACATGTCCTTGTCTTGCTGGCCCGGAATTGTAACATGTCCATTGGAAAGGAAACGGTACTTATTATAGGGCTCTAAAAGCAAGTCATCTAAAACAGTAAAAAAAAGTAATGAAATCATCAATATTGGGTTATATCTTGCTTGGATAGACATTCAAAGGTAAGACTTTAGACTTAAATCCCCCATGACAAGAATGGCATTATATATCACTACTCACAAGTAAGGCTGCTTGTATTACGTTTTCTATAGCAAGCTGTTTCATGGTAAGAGATTTCAATATTAATTATATTTTTAGTAAGAAGAGAATTTTCAACTATTGCCATGACTGTATAATATTACTTTTTTTCTTTTTCTATTGCTCGATTAAATAAAAGACAATAATTGGGCCTAGTAACAACTATGTCCAATATTTATAAAATGGTGCAAGTACTGTAAATAGGGAAACTATGGAACAGAAAGTCAGCAAGATGAATGGGGTGAGGACACATCCAATAAATCAAAATGCCCGGGTCAAACAGCAAAGTGATTATCGTCAAGTACTCACTCTTCAGGTGTTCTCCTGCCCCAGTCAGCAAGTAGTAGAAAATATGGAATGTCCTTTCTTCTTTTGCCTGTCGTATAGCTCTTGATTTCTCTAACAGATCTTTAGGAATGTTAAGGAATGGAGGAAATCCTAAATGTTACACATAGATAATTGCATAACTGCAATACTTTTCAAATAAAATATCAATGGATATGCTGCTTTAAAAATCTCCAATGTTCAAAAACTGAGCTTCTAAACTGGGATGACCTACTAGGGAAGAACACAATGGATAAACCAGCAGGAAAGCAGCATACCACAATCTGGAGAGAGAGAAAATATGAGGTAAAAGCTTTGAGGAACGGCTGTAAACCAAAGTCCCTAAGACAGATGGGCCAGCCTCGTGGTTATCATAGCACTTTGGCATAAACACTAGAGCTAGAAGTATCTTCATTTTCATTCACCATATTATTTTTTTAAAGACACTCAAAAGATTTTTCAGTGTATAGCTTTGGTAGGTGTTTTTTTTAAGATATGCCCCAAAGTTTCAATTTAAAAGAAGTATCAACCATAGCTCTGTCATATTTGTAATCTGACCCACAATAGTCTTAAATTAAATATAATTTTCACAAATAGACAATCATGAACTTAGGGTGGGTGGGTTTAGAGACAGATCTAGAATTCAAAAGAAAAGTGTTTTCATTTACAGGGCTACAATTAGAAATTTTCCAATTCTTCCATCTTAACTGATTATGATTTTCCACAAAGCAGAAATTCCCACTCATTAAGACAATCTGCCTCTTCCAAGTAAAATCTCACAATGCTTTCCAGCTACATTTTTTTGTAAGCCATTATACAATTTCATTATGAGTTGCCTGGATCAGTTTTACTGGTGAAAAGGATACAAGTCTCAATGTTGGCTCCAACAATGTATCCATTTACATCAAAGTTGATTCTAATGAACTTTCCCTTAAATGAAAAAAGGCATAGGAGTTAAGGAACTGAAACAATGCAAGACTGTATCATACAATTCTTCTAAATTCCCACAATTCAACAGCTCATTCCCCAGGATAGCCTCAAAGGAACCTGATCAAAGAGTATCCCTTAATGACAGTCAGTAGTTTCTAGAGTTAAATACAGAATAGCAAGGACAAAGATTTTATTTGCTTTATACCATTTTAATCAGCTGTCATTAACAGCCTAAAATACTCGTGATAATAGGAAGGAATGTACAATAATAACTGTGTTTTTATTGTTACTTTCTAGGTGTACTTAATATAACAATGTCATCCTAGTGCATATATTTCTATCTTCAAAATGTTTCTAAAGTGAAGTCTATCTTGTTTTAAAAAGAAGTTTAATCCTCACCAACGTATGGAGACATTTCTTTTACAATATATTATATATTTGAGGCAATCAATCTTTTCCTTTTAGGCATTATTCAACAATGATGCAATGAAGCAAAAAATACTTACAAATCTTGAAGAGTTGTCATTTTTAACAGTTTTGGCATTTCCAAAAGCCTCCAATATAGGGTTGGCCTGAAGCAGCTGCCTCTCTAGCTCTCCCTGAAATAAGAAAATCAAATAGAAAACTCTCAGCTGGTTACTCTCCAGAAGCCACTAGCCAAGTATGTCGTTATCTCTTGACTTTAACCTATATTGATCTTCAGAAACTATGAAGTGATTAATACTTTATAATCACCGATAAGATTAAACAATGAAATTTTATTAAGATTAAGACACAGTTAAGACAAATTAAACAATATTATTAAATCCTGAGGGGAGAGGGGGCTGGTTTATTGGTTATACACAGGTTAATTGTAAGTTTAAAAACTTATTGAAGTTTTCCTTGTTGTGCCTTTAAGATGCCTAAATAATATTCTTTTGTTTCCATAGTGTGCCTCTCAGTCCTCCCATAGACAAGAGTGTCTCGTGAGCTGAATTCTATTATTGTCCAACCACTGTTTGTTTGTTTTTTTAACCAGACAAAACAGATGTAAAAACTGCTACCAGACAAATTGAATGATTATATGGGTATATCAAGGAAAGACTATATATTGAGAAAAAGAAATTTAAGTGATTGGAATTAGGGGTCTTGTGTATCACTATGTAATGAAATGCTTTTGAGGAATCCTGCATAAGGAAGTATTGGTTGGAACAAGTGAGCTATTTCTGGATCATGTGTTTTTGTGGTAATCTTTATCAATTTGCTTTTTTATAAACTGGAGATTTTGCTATTTGATTCCCTATGGCAGCCCCCAGTTTGGTGACAACCAAATGGTAGTCATTTTGTAGTAGCATCTATACTAAAAATTCCTACTTTATCTGCCAGTCTAGCAAACTGAAGATTCGTGCTTTAGAATCAGGCTTTAAAATGGGTCTGCTTTTTTCATCTATGTGTCTACTCTGGTTTTATAAACTTTACCACAATTCAATATCAGGTAACTGAAAAACCTCAACACAGTTTTGTCAGAACAAAAATATAAAAACCAAATTGCTGTCTCTTGTCTCCAAACTATGTCAAAGAACAAGAGCGACAAAGCTTCAGTGCTGCTATCCAGAATATCCACAAAATCCTTTTTTCCGATGTGGTAAAACAGGAATATCATATCCAGGCAGATTTAAATAGCAGCAATGAAATAGGAATAACTTTAACTCTTTTTTGCTATCTTATGGACATCTGGATTTTTCAAAATCAGATATAGCTCTAAGTGTAGGAATCAATGAGAGACAAAAAGCCATATTCAGGGGTGAATGAGGTATTTTCAAAGTTAAGGCCATTTGAGCAAAGAGTAGGGGATTATTTATTTTACAAAACAAACATTTACCTTTTAAGTACGTAATTATTTTCTTCTTTATTTTTATCTATTCCAGAAGTCCACAGAAATGAAGGAATCCCTTTTTATACAATGCCAACATGTTTCATTTTGATTCAATCCTAAATTCCAATTATTTAAGATTTTTAAAAAATATTGTAGTGTGGTCCTTATTCAGAACCTTCCTTTCTTTCAAAACCCGAAGCAACTTATAACATCAAACTGATGTCTGACTAATGTTATTGCTCTAACATTCTAACATTCATTCTTGAAGTGCAACAAGAAATTAATGTTCTTGCATTAATATTTGTTATTGCATTGCTCCAGTAAAATCATTCTACTCAAACAATTCAGGTAATACAGCCCTAAAAATTTATTGGCAGACAGCAGTGGCAACAGCAGTGAATACAGAATATTATTCAGCCATGGGAATTGATAATATTAAGGGACATATTGCTGCAATCCATCAAAGAGCACAATATCAAGTGGGCTGAAGAAAAGAAAAGCCATAAAGTCTCAGATGGACTCCAAATTGTTTATTTTGTCAGCAATGTTGATTTTCCTGTTTTGCCTTTCCCACTCACACACCCAAAGATTGTCCTTCCCCCAATTCATTGTCTTCTTTGATCCAGCAATTGAATCCCAACTCCTGCTTCTGATTGCAATCTGTTGCTATGGTGATGAGCGATCTCACAAAATGAAACATTACCACTACCATTCTTCTTAACATCTTAAAATCTATGTTTATAGCAAAGAGCAGGTTCATTACAGGAATGCAGTATTTGGCTCAAAAAAAAAATCTGTTTCCATTGGATGCCTTGAGTATTTCATGAAGCTATTATTTTGTAGTTCTTTTTCCACTTTACGAAAATAATGGCCAAGAGATGTAAATTAATTCAGGACAAGCATAAAAGAAAACAGGAAAGAAGGATCTTTTTAAGACATTACTGCTTCTTTGAGAAATCAGCAAATGGGAATCTAAAGACGGTCCATATCGTCCTATACATATTAAATATTAGAACTGTGCAGCAAGACAAAACAAAATTTCAATAATTTCAGAAGATCTTACAAACAGAAATTTTAATAATTTTCCACAAAGCAGATTCAAATATTTCCTCTAGGAAACAATCCAGGAACAGTATCACTCTTGGGAGTCGTCTTCAAATTGTTAACCTCTGACCTGGAAAAAGCTTTCAAAAAGCTTCACCAGCCTACTTATAATTCAAACCAATTGAAAGATATTGAAAAGAAGTTCAGGTGCCTCGAGGTAATTTTTGGATGATAATACTGATTTTTTTTTTTCACTAAGGCAGTTATCTTAGCTAACAATCTTTAACAAAAATTGCGATCTTTGAAACTTAGAAACATAGAATGTTCAGAAAATATTTTAAGTACATCTGCTGGCAGATGGGGAGAAAAAACAGTCACAAGAAAGCTGCGGTTTTTTTATTCCAAAAGCCCTCATTAGAATGTGCATATGCACACACACTCCATGCAGAGATATTCATAGAACTAACCTATAGACACGCATCATGCCAGTGTATTTAATATCAAAATCAAGATTTTATAAAATACTCTACATTAAAATGGTTTGCAAGATTAGTTTTGGGAAAGAGGCTTGGAGTTGGAACATCCAGTCTATGAAGGGGAAGTTTCTTTTCGATATTTTTCAGCATCTTGCACCCACAGCTAGTATACTGGGTGGGACTGGAAGTCCCAGAAAAAATTGGGTCCATGCTGTTGGCCAAATCACCACTGATACCAGATATTCTGTACTATTTTAAAAGGACATTTATATTGCTGCTTAGAATGCTTACTTAGTGCACATAAGAAATTGTATAAGGTAGACCAAATGTGATTACTAAGTTTAGATAACAAGCAATCGTGTATTTTTTTAAAAAAACTACAGCCTTTCATTCAGCTCACCTAAAAAAAGCCAATGTGAATTGTGAATAAAATAGTTCTAGAAGCAAAAAGTGATACAGGTGGGAGTGAAAAGCTGCTATAAATCACACAATGGAGCAACACACACACACATTCTTGGTGCAGATCGTGCAGTCAAACGTGCAGCTCACCTACGAAGTACCAAGGGATGAATTCTGACATAATTCACCGAGAAAAGGGGAAACAGTAAATGAGACAATATTTCACAGACTCTTATTCACACAAAAGATACATATTGTCAGAGAGTTTATATGATTATTTATAACAGTAAAGAGTCTAGCAATGAAATATCTTTACTGCAAGACAAATAAAACCCCATAATTGTAACTGGTGAATTCTATATGAAGTAGTTCACTAACTATACACTGATAGCAAAATGAAGACAAAACTTCTATTGCTCAATCCATAGATAATTATCCTTTCTAATTCTTTCAGGCTTGGAATAATTTACATATGCTGCAAATTCAGGTAAGAAACATCACAAAGAACCAGTGAACACTCAAATTGGTAATAAAGGATCAAACTGTAAAAGTATCTCAGGTAAAGAAGTCAAATTATGTTTTCAGTTCAAGGAGATGAGCAATATCTTAACTGGATAACAGAACTTACTTGATCTTTTTTGCTCTTGTGTGATGAAGCAACATGAGCCAGATACTGAATGACCTTTTTAGTATTTTCGGTCTTACCAGCTCCTGATTCACCACTGGAAAAGAGAGAAAAAACTCTAGTTAAGACGTATTGCATACATGAAAGCTCACCCTGAAACCCAACAGGTCTAGTTTTTAAAAATAGGACTCTTAATTTTTCCCAACCTCATATCTAATATGATGGATAACAACTTTCAGCTAAGGCTTTTGGAGAAAGCTGCTTAAATATTTTGCTAATATGAACATTGGTAGCAAAATTTTGGTTTCTAACTTCCAAAACCATTTTTAAAGAAATTAGGGCTTTTACCAAAGAAAAGCCTTAAACACTCTCTCCTGAATTTTAACTGTCTTTATTCCCATTGAACATAAACAGATATATGATTCCATGCATACATACTTTTTAAATATTAGTTAAAGCAAAGATGTTGTTTTTTTTAGTAAATGCTTCTGCTGGTCAACTATGCTTTAATTGTTTTTCTCCATTTTAAACAATCAATTACTTAAATACTTACGTGCAGAGAATGGACTGGTCCTCTCGATCTGAAATTAAAAAAAGGAAAGAGGTGACTGAAATGAAATCTCCCCTTTTGCTGTTATCTCTCCACACACACAACTTGAATGTTCATATATGTGCCCTCAAAGTCTGCAGCTTAGTTTTTATGTTTTTTCCTGATGGAATTTAGGGATGAAACAGAAAGGCGTTAAAGACTGAATGGATTATAGAATCATATTATGTTATAATATTCATGCAAAATTCATTTAAAAGTATAACTTTTTTGCCACCTTGCATTTGGCAGGGAGTGGGGTGGGATGGAGAATGGGCACGCTCTGTCACTTTTTTGGTTTTTACAAGTCTCTCACAACTAAACTTCATGCATCATGAAATACAGGTAGTCCTTGAATTATGACTGTAATGGAGACTGCCCATTACAATCATAAATTGTGATGGTTGTAATCATCATGTGACCAGCCCTGATTTTATAACCTTTTTTGCAGTGGTCATTACACAAACACCATGCTAAGTGAACTCACTGTTTGCTATGGGACACTTCTGTAGAAAACCAGAGGTACTGGTTTACAGAAAAAACATAAATTGCAGTTACATGACACAGGATGCTGAAAAGAGCCATAAATGCTTTTTTGTCAAGTGCCCGAAATGCTGTCATCTTACCAAGGGGAAAGGGGCAGCCATCAGAACTTTAGAACTGAGTCATAAGTAACTTTCTGGGTTGTCCACTGTAACTTCAAATGGTCGCTAAGCGACCAGTCGTAAATCGAGGACTATCTGTACCAATTACAAGGCCAAATTTCCATTCCAGAGCTCTTAGATAATCTGGCTGAACTTTTTATAGCAAAATAAAAAAATAAAAAACACCAAATCAAGCTTGACTCTCGACACATCCATGCAGTCTTACTTCACAGCAACATCGAGTTGCCTTCTTTATGTGTGCGCAGGTGTGTGTTTACCTCTAACTTTAGCATATTGTTTCCTGATCACCTTTCAGTCAAACATTAATCAGCCTTAACCTTGCTTAGTTTTTCTGAGATCAGCCAAAGTCAGCCAGGTGCTTTCACCTAGCTGGGATAAGCACAACTTAAATTGAGCTCAGTTCTGGATAACTATAGATTGTGAGGTGTCATTGCTTTCTTCAAGATGTTCTTTAACTACACACTTTGGAGCCTCCAGTTCTACTTTTTTTTATCCTGATGTTCTCCCATCAAAATATTAACTAGGCTCCTTAAAAGCAATAAAATAATAAAGAAAAAATATTAATCAGGCTCATTCCTGATCAGTTTTCAAGTTCAAACATATGTACTCAATTGCTAAAATCCAGAAAAATATTTTATTGTCATTGCTAAAAGATAAAGTTTCATAATTTGTAATTTGGCATCTCAACGAATTTGTATTTGCAAATTAACCTAAAGTATATACTCAGCTTATTTGATATTTTGAATATCAAACCTAAGAGTTCTCAAGGGTGATAAAAAGTTGAAGCAGGATCTCTATGATCTACATCACATACACAATAAAATATAGATTCTATAGATCATATCTATAGAACTCTTTGTGTAGAATTTCTCTATATATCATATATAGATCTTATTCATTCTGTACAGAATTCTTCTATATAGATCGTATTTATTCTTCTATAGATTAAACATAAGGATTTTCTATGACTGGACATTTAAATGGAGAATCAGACCACCAACTAATACTGGTAATTCATCTGTATTTAGCAACACAGAAACCTAGATGAATCTGTATTATACAAGCAGTTCCAGAAAAATTACTAGGAAACTGTTCTTAAGTTATTTTTTCAAGCTGCAGGAGTTTAAATATGTTCTTTCAACATTACAGTTAAATCCTGCTTCTATAGTAGAGGTAAAATTAAGCTCCAGAATAATTTTACATTTATAGTTCCATTTATGTTCAGCAATGTCTACTGAAAATATATTATAACAGCCCCCATACATACAATTGTAGGAGGTGATATACTACATGGACAAAACTGTTTATTTCAGCACAAAGAAGAAACAATTGCTCACCAGCTGATTTATTAGCTGTTGATTGGGGTGGGGGTGTTACAATTTTCATTTTTTCATACCACAGCCTACTTAGAGGCCAGTTAGAAAAATCCACATGACTTCCAAGTATGGGCAGTTGCTTCCAGCAATTCATTCTTCACCTCATACCCTCCCCTCTTATCTTCTTCAGGTTTTATTATTTGCTTGCTTCATACACTCGAAGGAATGTACCTGCATGTATGGGCAGATCAAATGGCTGAATGCAGACACTACCATAAAAGGAAACTTCCTTTTTGGAATCCAGGAAAAAGAATTTACTCAGTCCTTGTAGAGCATATATCATTAGGATAGCTGGGATTCTTTTGCATACTGACAACTGACAAATGTGGTGCGGTCTCTTATTTCCTGTTGTTCAGTATTAAGAGATGCTTTTTCCTCCCCCACCTTCACAACAGAAGTGCATTCTCACACAAGCATTCCAGAACATACATTCCTTTCTAATTCCTGGCACTGTTCTGTTCACACCAGCATCAGAGACAGCCAAATAATTTGGCTAACTGATAATGCAACAGACTCTGCTCCTTCTCTGGAATAAGACCAGGACACTGCAAAAAAATTTGAGTGTGGATTATGAGAGGGTTTTGGGGTGGGTGAGATTGCTGTATTTTGAAGGAAGAGAAAAACGTATGTCCAAATCATCACAGTAAGAATATGTACAGAATGTAACTGAACTGAATGTACATCAGCTTTACTTGGAAGGAATGGCATCTTGTGACTGTTCTTGAAATAAAGGACACATTACTCTGGCTGTAAAAGAAATGTTATATTTCAGCACACAAAGCTAATACCTAATATCTGTAAGGCTATTAATTCCCTTTGCAGTATTAAGTAACATGACTACTTTCCAGCTTAGAGAAATTCAAGGAGTAATACAGGTTTTTAAAGTACACAAGTCATCTTATTCTAGGCTACAGAGAGACTTGTAGACTCACTTGACAAAGCCCATCTTATTAAATAGACAATTAAGGAACAACTGTACAAATTATTTCATCATGCAACCTTAATTACAGTTTTACTGGTGGAGTCCCAACAGTTGAATATATAAGTGCTGTAAAAGTTACGCATCATAAAAATCCAACAGTTTCATTGCTGTCATTTTAAATGTATGTGATTGAGTCACTCTCACATAAACGGTTGCAGTTAAAAGAGCTTACTTAAACTATAAAAGAATGGAGGTGGGAAATGAAAGCAGTATGTAGTTAGATGCTTCACAAGCCAATTAACAAACATCCTTATCACCCACTTCCTCTGCATGAGCACTCATGAGTTGAGTCTGTTTAGCTCCATAAAAGGAGAATATAGCATTCAGAGAATGGTGACATCATCTCTCCAGTCAAGAGGAAGTGGAACAACAAACAGTGCAAAAGTTTTTATGCTTTACTTATGGCCAATTCATCAGGGCTGATATTCTCACTACTGAACCCTCCTGTAGGCATACTCTAAGACACAAACATCTACAAAATTGTCCATGTTTATCATGTGGAATTCCTGTCGGCACCGAAAGAGTAGGACATCATAGAGGAAGACAATTTCTGGAGTATTTCCTTTCTTAACAATTTTGAAAAAGAGAATTGAAATAGCAAGGCAATTGTTATTTCTCTGATATTTCTTACATGGGGTGATTTTAATGGGGCTGGTAAAATAAGCAGAGATCAAGGAGATGTGAAGGATAATGCTTCAAGGACTATAGCTGATTTGTGTATACTTGAGAATGTTACTATGGCTAACAAGTTGTATAATTTATAGTGAGGCTGGCAAAGGCTTATTCAACTAATGCATACCATTTCAAAATTAGTATTAAGCTATAAGCATAACTCAGGCAAGCACAGAGTAATAGACAAAAAGGTCAGAGCTTGTTCTTGTCAGGAGTCCCCATTAATAATACATGAAACTTTTTAGATCTTGTTATACCAACCAGATGGAAATTTTACAGAGTATAATCTCAGTATTTCTGGATGTCACTAAGCTGAAGCATACTATGCTAACCATGAACATATAATTTGGAAAAAGGCCAAACCAAATCATTTTCAACAGAGGAGCTCATTCAGTTTCCCATTAAAATTGTTCTAAAGCTGTACTCACACAAAATAAATTATTTAAAAGCCACTATCATTCCTCTTTGAATGTGTCACAGCTCTGTTATATTTTGTGGTTTCATTAGACAAAGAACACAGCTGTTAATCATGAAGACCTATGACAACTAAAATGCATTTCATGCCTGTTGAAAGGGCATCTATAGTTTAGTCTTGATCAGCACTAAGACAAAATAAAATTAAAACTAATGGTTGTTTTTTCTTCTTCTTATGTCTCACTGTCTGGGAACATGCAATGTGCTAAGACTCTTCAAGATTTTTTTCTTTAAAAAATAACTTCTATTCTACATGTAAAGCAAAAGATTTAAGATGGACAGAATCCCACTGTAAGTTCCCAAGACTGAATAATAAATATCAGCCACCACCTGGATCTATGTAATTTTCCTATATTCTCCCTTGCAAAATCCTAGAAATAACTGGAGTCAAATAAATCCATCCACATCTACTGGTTTGGGGGTGGGGAATAGGGCAGTCATTATCAGTGCAAATACAGTCGGCAGACATAAATTTAGATCCGGTCTTTTTTTAAAAAAAAATCAGACTACAGAACCTGTTAGTTAAAAAAAAAGTTAGAATTCCTGAACAAGAGGCCATGTGCTAGTGGTAGAAAATTGGCCATATGTGAATGAGCTTTTTTTCCTGTTAGCTCTTAAATCTCTCACAAAACCCCATCAATTTCTCACAGGATGTTAGGATTTCACACAGCACCATTTGAAAAATCTTGTTTTAGATGCCCAAGATACACTGAGTAATAGCTGAAACACCTTCAGTGTAGTACTTTCAGAAAACAGATGCACTATTCTATATAAACCTAAAGCAGAAAAGCTGTCGTGATTATTTTTATTTTTTAAAAAAATTATCGTGATATTGTTATAATACACTCAATTTAACTATATAAAAATTGACACTATTTTATAAAAAAGATCAATGAAGAAACACAAAAGATAGATTTTGACAGGTATAAAATGAAAAATCATTTAAAAAAATTCCTTAGGCAAAGGCTATTGCTGCAGCTTGTGGTAATACCAACAATTCAGCAAAGCCAGAATTGAAACACAGCCACTGAAAAATGCAATCTTGCTAGCACAAAATTTTATGCCCCATCCCTGCTAGTTAGAGTCTGGCTCTGAGGCAGGAAGTTTCTTCTTTGCAGAATCACCCAGATTATGAAAAAAGATGCTGACTTTAGAAAAGGCTGTAACTTTGATTTCAACTGAGGTGAGATGGGTGCCAAGTAAACCAAACATACAAATAAACCAAAGGGTCTCAGATTCTAGTACAGTGCCTGCCAATTAAGAAGCAATAAACCAAATGCTGAATTTAATCTATGTATTAACATGCAAAACTTTATTCTGATAGAACATTTTACTCCAAAAGTGCTGACCATTTAACAGTCAAATTTTTTTGCTCCATTAACTGAGGGAAATAAGAGCATCTCTTGCTGACAAAATAAAAATAAAAAGGCATGCTGAAAACCATGAAAGATTTCCTGCTTGTCAGGCTCTGAATGGAATCTAGAGCACAAAAGCTAATCCTCAATGCCCTGAGTTCTTGCAGAGTTGCTGGCATTTCAACAGATTCCTCCCATACCAGTGGCCACTGCGTGAAATTTCCCCATGTTTTAAATAAATTCAAAGAAAAAGAATGCTGCTTTCCAGGGACCAGAAGTTTGAACAAAATAAAGGACTATATGTTATAGCAGAAGCTACAACATGCTCCACACATTTTTGACATTTTACAAGCCTAAGTCTCTGAGGAAATTATTTAGTTAACTGAGCACAAAATGATTCATGTCCACAAATATTTTTAAGGTACATTACCTTGCATCATACTCCTGTAGGCTGTATCTGTGATAGCATAGATATGTGGGGGCATCTCATGCCTTTTTTTGCCTTTGTACATTTCCACAATCTCTTCTGAGTAGATTGGCAAATTCTTGTAGGGATTTATGACAACACAGAACAGGCCTGAGTAGGTCTACAAAATGAATTGCATGAAGATTTATTTAATAATTTATTTGCACACTTATAAGACTGCTCAATTCTACAACTCTGGGCATTATACAATAAATACAACCATAAAATAAAATTATAAAATCCAAACCCTGGAAGAAAAAAAACACACTGGAAAACAAAGACACAGGACCTGCCACCCCACCCCACCCCATAACCTAAGTTTTGCAGAAAGAACCGGTTTTTCAATGCTTTTTTAAAAAACATGGGACTGTGTTATTTTAGTGGATAGTATTCTGGAGAATGCACACTTCTTTGTTCCATTAGGTGGCGCTGCTTGATGGATGTGGCCTGGAGTATGCTGACTCTTCCTCATTGTACAAGCTGGACAAAAGTCACAGAAGAGAGATGATCTTTAGATCAAGATTGGGGAAGGATGGCCCTTTTATGACTTGTGGACTTCAACTCCCAAAATTCCTCAGCAAGCATGGCTGGCTCAGGAATTCGGGGAGGTGAAGTCCACAAGTCATAAAGGGGCCATTGTTCTCTGCTTTGGATCAAGGTTGCTCAACCTTTTTTTGCTCATGGCTCCCATCTGAGCCTATTTACTTCCGTGACACCACCTTCCTTCCTCAGTTGCTGTTATCTAGAAAATAAGATAATTTATAATTGAACTTTTTATATGATACAGTTATAGATGTATAAGGATAAAATATTTATTCATCTGAAAATGAGGGTTATTAGACAACTGATCATTCCCCTGGAAGTTCAGCTAGGATGCCCCCTCAAAATATGGCATGTTAAGAACCAATGCATTAGACCAGGGGTCGCCAACCTTTTGCACCTCAGGGACCACCAAACTCATAATTTTTGATCCCAGGGACCACTAACCAGTTCTGTGAGCCTGGCCTAATTTGTGGGTGTGGCTTGGTGGTCATGTGACATGGCTTGTATGTAAATATTATAAATATTGATATAAATATTGATTTTTTTTATACAAAAGAGCAACTTTTACCCAAAATCAGGCAAAGCAGGCAGGCAGATTGAGTTGCTCACAGAATCAGATTCATTCAGTAAGCTATCTATCTGCCATTGGCTAGCTCAATCTGTCACATAAAATTTGCTTGCAAGGAAACTCATAAAATTAACTCACAACATACCATTCATGTAAATATTTAATTTTTTATTTAAAAAAGAGCCTTTTTACCCAAAATCAGGCAAAGCAGGCAGATTGAATTGCCCAAAGAATCATTCAGTGATCTATCTATCTGCCAGCTAGCTCAGTCTCTCAAATTTGCTTGCCATGAGTCTGCACTGAATTTGCTTGCAAGCAAACCTTCAGTCCTAAGGGAGGTTCAGCAGAGCCGAAAATCTAAAAACTAGCTAGAAAGCAAGAAATCCAACCATTTCCTGCTTCCTAGCTAATCTAAATCTCCTGGCACAGCAGAACAGAGGATGGTCGGAAAAAGGAAAAATAGCAATTTTAGCAGCAATTTTTGCCCCATTTTACGACTTTTCTTGCCATGTTTGCTAAGTGAATCATGGCAGTTGTTAGATTAGTCATATGGTTGTTAAGTGAAGCTGGCTTCCCCATTACTTTGCTTGTCAGAAGGTTGTAAAACGTCATCACAAGACCCCAGGACATTGTCGCTGTCATGATTATGAGTCAGTTGTCAAGCATCTGAATGTAAATCATGTGGTCCTGTGGATGCTGCAATGGTCTTAAATGAGAAAAACAGTCATAAGTTACCTTTTTCAGTGCCATGGTAACTTCAGTCACTAAGTGAACTGTTGTAAGTCGAAGACTACCTATATAACTAATGAAATGCCTACAAGAAAACAACCAAGCTTAGACAGCACCAAGGACCTCTTATCTGAGCAATGTACCAAACTAGTCACATTATGTTACCGTTAAAAATCACATAACACATAAAAATCTACATGTACCTAAAATGCTTTAATACTTAACAAGTTTTTTTTTAAAAAAACTGATCACTATAGAATTATTTGGGGGAAAATTGTATTTATGAACCAGGGCTTCCTCATTTAGGGTTTTAGGATAGCTATCAAAGAAAGAATATTTCATAATTGGTAGTACCAGCACAAGAAAAAGCCATGTTATGTGAACCAATATATATCCTCATTCAATAGTAAGGAATCTTCTAAACTAGGGGTGTCAAACTCACATAGTTGCGGTGGCGACACATGACATATTGGGACGTAGGCATGGCCAGAACGTGACACATCCAGGCTAGGGGGTTGACAGCCCTGCTCTAAACTATAAATCAGCCACCAAACAACTTTTTTTTACTGGAGGCATAATCACTATCTTCAACCCATTAATTCCCCATGCCATTGCTTCAGGCTGCCTTCTGCAGGTCATTATCCTTTTCTCCAGGTCTAGGGAATAATACCTAGAAAATTCTTTTCAAACCACCACCACCCAAACTATTATTCAAATTCATTCCTCACTAGTGAGAAGGAATTAATCTGGAAATGACAGGAATTTCCTGACAATAGAACAGCTAGCTTTCCAGAGTTGTGGGTGCTCCATCACTGGGTTTTCAAGAAAAGACTGGACAAACATTTGCCCAGAATGGTATAAGGGTACATATAAGGCCAGGGTACAGGAGTGGACTATAAGGCTTCCAAGGTTCCTTCCAGCCTTATGATTCTAATCCGTGAAATGATGCAGGAAGAAATATATTTTTAGCATTATATTATTCTTATATAAATAAGAATAAGAATATTCTTATTCTTATATAAACAATTATATATTCTTGTTTCCATAGCAGCAATCTCATAAGAACTATTACCATTTGAGTTCTGAACAAATGCCAAGTCACCTACTCAAAATGTGTTCTAAGCAACCTACGTTGGAGACCTGAAATTAAGAAAAACTAGCATAGCTGAATTGTTCTGAAATTCTTTGGGTTCTGCATTGAACAAGTTGATTAGATCAAAGTAGATTTCAGAGAAGGCATATAGCCACAAAGCTTTCTGTGCAGTTGCATTTGATTATGTAAAAAGAATATTTTTCTACCATAAACAATCACTACCACCACCGTTTTAAATAAAAGAAATGCCTACAGGAGAAAATTCAGTTTAGGATCAAATGTAATAATTTCTAAAATATTTTCCAAAATGCTTCAATCACAAGATGTTTTTCAAAACATCAATCATAAATAAGTGTGCCAACCCATTATAACACTGATAAAAATTAGGTAACTTCTCAGACAAAAGTATTACTTACATAGATTAGCCCTGAGTAGTATCGTTCTTTTAGATTATGTAACACTGAGGCCTCATTCAAGCATGTCAGTTCAGCCATGTCTTCCACTTTAGAGAACTTGGGTGGGTTCATCTTTTGGATATCATCTTTGTTGACTCTCACTTTCTTCCCATTCTCAGCAAGCTCCACAACAGCTTCATCTCCAACTTCCTCCTTCAAGCTAGCAGGCTCAAATCCATTCTTCTCTGATGGTACCCATACCAGTTTCTTGGCAGCCCAATCAGCTTGAGCAAGAGGATTGTTGATGACATTTCTATCCACATATAGGTATTTGTCAGCATCTTTCTGAGCCATGATTGTTTAAGGTAAGGGACCTGTTAAAATAATTAATATAATTATGCATATGATACTACAATCCTTTCATATACACATTCTATAGCTGTTGAATTGCTAAAATTTATATATTTGGACATCTCAGCTTACATAACAGAGACAAAATTACTTAATGTAAGGAAATGGGATCCATAATCATTTTGGTTTATATCATAGAGACAAGATCACTTAATATAAGGAAACAGTATCCATAAATATTTAGGGTTCTAATGCAGTAATGTAATCCAAACCTACTGGTCAAAAGGTGAAAACAGCCATATACTGTCTCTCCATAGCTCCTATGAGCTATAAAGCGGGAGGAGCGGGGCGGCAAGTATACTGTATAAAACATGATTTTCAAGCAGCTTATGGAAATCAAAAATTGGGGAAAGTTAACAGCCCTAATGTTTAATAATATACCAGTAATACAACCAACCATATTCTAAATAATGTGATTACAAGAAAAATATATTTTTATGATACTTTTTAACTTTCTATAACATGTATGCAATTGTAATGTATGTAGTAGAGTTTATAATTCTTCATTAGCAAATGCATAATTCGCATGCAAAATGCTCATAACCTTTCTTCCCAAAAAGTACCAGGAAACACAAACGTATTTTTGGATGGTTATGATCTGTTTCTTCTTTTTAACTCTTGCTTTTTCTAAATATAAGATGTCCAGATTATTTGGAGTTGGGTAACCTCAGAATTGTATTAAATAAAAATAAATAGTCATTTTGGTTTAGTGGTTAAGGCACCACCCTAGAAATCTACGGACCATGAATTCTAGTCTCACCTTAGGCAAGAAAGCCAGCTGAATGACTCTCAACCTAAATCACCTCACAGGATTATCGTTGTTGGGCAAATATGAGGAAGAAGGTGTATTGGATATGTTTGTTGCCTTATTTGTAAAAATAATAAAAGTGGGATTCAAATAAATAAATAAAATACCAGACTAGACTGTAAGACAAATAGCTTCACATAATCAGCACTTAGTATTTACAGAATCCTAAAATCCTTAAATGAAAAGCCACTTAATAAGGATTTTATAAAATTATGCAGTCCGGATGATCAAATTGTCATAATCGATAAACACAATCAATTCTAAAGTAATCACAGAGAGAACCAGTTTGGTCTAGTTACAGGCCAGAAACCAGGAGAACTAACTTCTAGTCCTGCTTTAGGCATGAAAGCTGGCTGGGTGACTTTGGGCCAATTATTCACTCTCAGCCCATATGGCATGCCAAGCAACAAGCTGGTTGGTCCATTCCTGTCACAACCAATAGATTGATTCAACAAAGATCTTGTATTTGCAAGAAAATGCTAGGAAGAAAAATATATTCAAAGTAATCATAAAATACTCAAATAGTACTTAGTTGGGGTAATACTTTTATTTATTTTACTACAAGTAGTCCTCAACCTATTCATGGTATGTGAGAAAGACCTTGGGAGAGGAAGCTATAGATGCCGCCTAGAGAACAGTCAGATAAGAGAGGGCATAGCCTGCAATAGGAATGTGAGTAGAGCAAGAGGCTCAGAAGAGATTCTCACTACTCAAGGAGATTGTGGGAGATTTATACTCTCTGCTTTGCAAGATTCTGTTAATGTAGCTTTACAACAAAATTCAATCAATTAATCTGGACATATTTGCTGTCTTCCTGGGAATGTTGACAACCCACAACCATTCATCATAAACAAGCTATCATAACGTGGCTCACACTTATGAATGACTGCAATGCTTCACAACCACATGATCGTCATTTGCAACTTTCCATGATGGCTTCCCCAAAAAGGTAATGGGTAAGCTGGAAAGGAAGAGTGTAGGTTATTGGGTTATGTTTTCCTCACATGTGCACCCCACTGCAGCCCTTCTGTGTCACACTTGTGCACTGTCAATTCCAGAGCAACCTTCCTGACCTAAGCCATACCCTCGTACACCCTTCACATTTCTTTGCCCTCTTCCCCATCCAGCAGCAGCGGCTTTCTACCTACACGTTTGGTAGTAGGACACCCTAATACACATTTACTTATGCAAAAATCTACCATCTTTCTAAACAGCCAAGCTTTACTTTAGAGGAAGTCTCCATTTAAGGGTGAAACACAGTACAACAGCAAATTACACTGACCTTCAGTATGCTTACAATTAAGTAAAGCATCTATTTATTAATTGACTGCAGCTGTTTACGGGAGAGAATATAGGGTTGTTATGTCTGGTGGATCTCCTGAGCATTCAAGGACTCCTTCTCCTTCTGAATATCTACAGCATAGCTTATATGCACTTCTATTCCAAGACACTTCTACAAGACAATTCCATTTTGGGTTAATTCATCAGATTGAAAAATATTTACCAATCGAATAAAACACATATTTGATGAAGGACTGCTTGCCCTTCTCTCTACCCTATGTAGGAAAAAAAAAACCAATTACATGGGAAAATAAATTATTTTAAATGGGGAATAGGGAGTTAAATATAAATTTAATGAATGAAGCATAAACTCCTTAAAACCTAAGCATATGCAGGCCAAAGAATCCAATTTAAGACTGAGAGCTTTAAAATAATCTCAGATTCAGGATGTTGTTGATGATAACATGTCCTTTATAATTTGTTGGTACAGAAGTGCTTTCAACAGCAGTTTCATTTTTTCAGACACTCATATTCCCACCAATGTGTGATTAATTGTACAAAATTCAAGTCTAACTGATCTGCTTCATGTATTGTACTATTTCTGAAAAATATTTCATATTTTTTTCACTCGGCCTTTATGCAATGAACAGTTCTTCTGCAGGAAATCCACTGTCCTGTGTTCATCCTGGCAACTAGTGAAAAAAATTGCTAGTATTTTACATCAAGTGCCATAAGCAAAACTGATGAAGTTAAATGTGATAACTGGAACTAAATGTGGAGCAATTCAAGACAAATACAAATAAACAAATAATAAATAAATAATTCAGGCAAGAGAACAATCGATATCAAACTCAGAACACTCTAAAAATGAAATTTTGTAAGTAACATTATTGCTAACATGCAAGGGATTTTAATCTTCCTATGTATATATACTTATGTGACAATAATAGTCCAGTCTTCATGAAGTCCTACAAAGCAAGGAATTTAAGAATTCACTGAAAACAATTATGTAGGGACAAACTATTTTTACCTAGATTTTTCTACATTATTATCATCTGTCCCAAGCTAACTTTCTCATTTAGTGATAGCAATGTAAAATAAGTAGTACCCACAAGAAGAGCTTCAGATTACATGAATGGATACAAGAAGGATCCATCTTAAAAACCAGCACCCAAGTCTTTTGGGGGGCAATGATAATTTGAATTAAGATTGCATTACCCAAGTTCATAAAACTGAGGCCTGAACATAGAATCCTACTTCATCGGTTTCATTGTGTCACACACCCACACTGTTCTATCATGAATCCATGCTCTGCAGCACTTGTACTTCTGTGTTCCAGACTATTTTAAGAAAGCCTGGTTAAAAATATATATTCCCCAGAAGTCTGAATTTGGCATTTACAAGATGTGTTTCAGACAAACCCAAAACCAAATATGACCTCAGGGCCATGGGAATAATGAGAAAGTAAAATAGTTTCATCAGGGAATCCTAAAATCTCATTTACTTATATTTATTTATATATCAGAGAAACAACATATTTATCTTGTTAGAAGTATTTATATTACCCTACTGGCCTCCTGGTAGCGGTTAGATGGTATGACAATGGTCCCCAAACCTTTTGGCTCCAGAGACCGGTTTCATGGAAGACAATTTTTCCATGGACCCGGCGGGGGGAGGGGGGGAAGAAGGGGAATGCAACCTAGATCTGGTGCATGCAGTTTCATTTATCTCTCGCTCACCTCCAGTTATGCAGTGGTTTTTAACAGGCCACAGACCAGTACCAGTCTGCAGCCCAGAGGTTGGGGATGCATGCAATATGAAACTTTCATAGGAACATGGAACCCCTTGTTCTAATCCACCCCCAGCTATAAAATTCACTGAATTATTTTAGGCCAGTCATCTTCTCTCAGCTCAGTTTATCTCACAAGATTATGGCTGTGGGAGGAGGGGGGAGGAGAGGGAAAGCACTGTGTATATTACCTTGCATTCCTGAATGAAAGATGGAATGAATATAAAACTACTAAAAATAATTGCATATTGGGGATTTTACTATTGTTTGATAAGGATAAGATATTAAACTTGCCATAAGCAGCAAAATGACTAACACGAAAGTCTACCTATACTACAATGATTAGTGTGTATTAAACAAATGTGAATTCAGAGTTTTCCTGGTTAAGAATCATTTTGTCTGCAATTGATACAAAAGAGGTGTTGGTCTTACCTGATACACCTTTTCTCTTCGAGTGGAGATAGCATCCAGGATTGGGTTGATCTTGTGCGGCTAACTGATTGGACTGAGTCTGTCAGAACTGTGAGGACAATCCCGTTACCAACGGTCCCCAGAATTTGGCAAAGGAATAGTGATAGACTGCTGTTTTCTTGCTGGTGTTGTGCTTCATTGGATCCAGAGCAAACCCTCATTAGGATGGACTGGATGCTATCTCCATCCAGAGAGGAAAGGTGTATCAGGTAAGACCAATGCCTTTTTTCCTTTGTGGTGGAGATAGCATCCAGGATTGGGCCATACCAAAGCTGCCTGTCCTATGGGTGGACTTAGTTTGCTCCAGATCCCCTAGTCAGGGTGGACCTTTTGAAGAACTCTCCGTCCAAAGGCTGCCTCCGCTGAGGCAAAGGAGTCCATCTTATAGTGCTTGATGAACGGGGACGGTGAGGCCCAAGTGGCCACCCAGCAAACCTCTTCAAAAGAAGCCTGAGTGGCCAATATCACCGACATGGCCACATTTCTTATGGAAAGGACTGTTATGCAAAGAGGTACTGTGAGTCCCTGGGACTGGTAGGCTCTGGAGATGCACATTCTAATCCATCGCCCACAGTCGATGGAGTGACCTTGGAATCAAGGGTAAAGGGTTGAAA